TAGCCAACAGAACCCCCAAGGCCCAGCTGATAGTGCCAGGCCTCTTCGGCTGCTTTTCTCTTAATCAGAAATAACAACAAGCAGTTGTACAGCACATACCGGGTTCCAGGGACTGCTCTAAGGCCTTGCCCATATTAAATTCAATTGTGATCCTCTCAGGAAGCTCATTTATGTGGGTACTAATTTTATAATGAGGAAACGGGCAGAGAGAGGGTAATTAATTTACCTGTGGTCACCCAGCTAAAAGATTGTGGAGGCAACTTAGAACCCAGGTGCCCTGGCGCCGAGCCCATGCCCCTTCGCCATCACACGCAACTGCCTCTCAGTGGCCCTGCGTTTTTCTGAGGCTGAAAACTGGAGCGAGCCCTGGAGTCTGCATCCTGAAGCCCTCCCCGTGTTTGCGTCTCCTTTCAGCTCCAAGACCGCCCTGCGCATCGGGAGCAGCGATACCCAGGTGGATGAGGTGAAGACGATGGCAGCAAGCAGCCACCTAGTGGACCACCTCTTGTGCCCCATGTGCAGCCGGCTGCGCCTGCACTCTTTCATGCTGCCCTGCAACCACAGCCTGTGCAGGAGGTGCCTGCGGCAGCTACAGAAGCACGCTGAGGTCACTGAGAATTTCTTCATCCTCATCTGCCCGGTGTGTGACCGCTCACACTGCATGCCTTACACCCACAAGATGCAGCTGCCGGAGAACTACCTACGCGGGCGCCTCACCAAGCGCTACATGCAGGAGCACGGCTACCTGAAGTGGCGCTTCGACCGCTCTACGGGGCCCATCCACTGCCAGGTCTGCCGCAACCGGCGCATCGCCTACAAGCGCTGCGTCACCTGCCGCCTCAACCTGTGCAACGACTGCCTCAAGACCTTCCACTCAGACGTAGCCATGCAGGACCACATCTTCGTGGACACCAGCACCGAGGACCAGGACGAGAAGATCTGCATTCAACACCCGTCCAGCCGCATCACCGAGTACTGCCGCAACGACAACCAGCTGCTCTGCACCTTCTGCAAGACAGCGTTCCACAATGGCCACGACACCATCAACCTCATCGACGCCTGCTCCGAGCGGGCCGCCGCACTCTTCAGCGCCATCGCCAAGTTCAAAGCAGGTTCTGGTCCCCTTCTCTTCCCTCTGGAATACCTCCTAGTTCAGGAACTGATGGGGAAGGTGGCTTGGGGCCATCTGGTTAGTGAGAGCCTTACCTCCGCCTGGTGGAGCTACAGTGGAAGTGCTGGGAAGTCCTGAGCTAGGCTGCAAATCACTGGCCTGGTGTCCACACCTGGCAACTATCACCAGCCACATAACCTCCCTGTGCCTTGGTTTTCTCATCTGTAAAATGGGGATAATAGTAATAACTCTTTCATTGGGTGACTCTGAGGATGGAATGAGTTAGTCTGTATGAAGCCTGCAAAAAAAAAACTACCTGACACATAAGACGTCCATAAAGACTCTATAATCTTAGTTATCGTCTTCAGGACCTCGGGCCTCATTTTCCCTTTTGGAAAATGGAGACTTTGNCGTGCCCTCCCCACAAATAAGGAAACTGAGCCTCCGAGAAGTTAACATGCCCAGGATCAAACAGATAGTCAGAAGCACCCAGGATTTGAACCCAGAGTCTGTGTGTTCTTGACTTTAAAATGCTCTCCTGCAAAACAGAGAGGATGATGCCTGCTTTCGTTCAGTGGGCAGGAGGATTAATGCATATGCTTTGTAATGTGTTATGTGATTTAAAAATATAAATTGCTCTTCCTCCTCTGAACTTCTGATATCTGCAACACTTACTGGAAAAGTCGTCACTTCCACAGGTCACTTTTGACCCCTATGTTCTTTATCAGCACCTCAGGCAGCTGTGTACCCCTGCCAGCCTTCTCTTTGTTCCTATCCAGGGGTCATGGACTGAGGGTTTCAGTCACTCTTTGGGAGCAGTAGCCCTCTGCGTCAGGCAACAAATATCCTCTTTCTGCTCTGATCAAACCAGTCTTTCTATGTCACACATGAGAGGAGCTGGGATGGGAGCGGTAGACCCCTTAGAGGAGGGAAGATTAAAGCTCACCACGATGACAGGACTTGGAGAGGCAGGTCTGAAGCCATTCAAGATCAGGAAAGCAATTCCATGAGCAAAGGTTAATGAGTTCAGGTGAAGAATATGACCGATCCATCTTGCAGTTCAGCACTTAGTAGATGCTTAATGAATGCTACCCTCTGCTCAGGGACCTCTCATGGTCCTTGTGTGACTAGAGAACCCAGAGGTTCTGGATGCAGACCCCAAAGTTCTAAGGTATGGAAAGTAGGTGTCCACACTCCTCTCTCCTCTC